TGCAATTAAAATTTAAATGAATCAGAAGTTAACGATTTTCTTAAGAACCTGCCTATAGTTAAATTAGTTAAATCTAACTTACACTTAATACAATTTACTCACCTACATTTGAAAAAAATATCACCTGATTTGAAAATGAAAATAATATCAGGCTGACATATTTATTATTATTTATAGCAACATAACCTAATTTATTTTCAAAGCCAGATTTACACCACCTAATAATATTTAAATTTAGCTTTAACTTTAAATTTATTAACGATTATCCCTGTATTTGATCACACATTATAGCAAAGTGAAATTTAAACGGGTAAATCAGTAAACTTATTGATTTCTTTGTCATTATTTTTGAAAACATTTTTTTATGGGTGTAAACGGGTTTGAATTTAGTGATAGCAGCGCGCTAAGCGCTTACGGTTCAACTACCAACAAGGAAACAAATCCCGCCATTTATTCAAACCTTCTCTTTTTATTTTTCTATGGTTATAACTGCTGCCCTTCAACATCCATAATTAAGGAAAGGCATACTCTTTAATTAAAGTTGCAATATCTCTCTAGTGTAAACAATGCATATATAGCTTTAGGATTGAAATTTTATATCCTAAAAAAAATCACGAAGTTTTATTTTAGATGGACTTTGCATTTTTGTTTGTTTTAAAATTTTGTGTGAATGTAATTTTTAGGTTTGTATTTGTAACTTTCCGATTTAAAGCAAGTACATGCCACGGATCATGTCACTTTAACAAAAAATAAATAGTTCAGTGCGTAATTTGGAAGCTGTTTTGAAACTATCGCTGCCAAATTTTCATTAATATGTCTTAGGTAGTTTAATTTGGAAAAATGAGCATTGTAGGTGTAAAAATTGTTTATATATGTTAAGACATCAGCATACTGCAAATATGAATAAAATATTCTAATGAAAAAATAACATTGATAGAGGCGAAATTGCGACCTAGATGAACATTAATAAACAGTTTATGTCTCAGTTGCGCAAGACCTTTTACATTAATTTGTATCTATATATTATTCATTCTATTTTTTTTATATTATTTCTGTTAGGTATGTAGCATTTTAAATCTGAATTATGCTGTTTAATATTTCTTGTTCTCAATTTGTGAAAAATGTAAATAATGTAAAAAAGGTTTATGCCCAATTAAATAAATTAATTAGCATTAGCCAAATATCCATCGGTCTTCAATATTCTAATGATAATGTAAATTGTAGAACTCTATATTTTCTGATTTAATTATATTTAGTTTCTTTATATTTTAACTAATTTTTATTTAATTTTATCCAGAATTAGGACTGGAAGCTATTTTGACGTGTTTAAAAGATTTTTGTTTTATCAATTTATTATATCTCCTATTTTTGTTCTATATTTTGATTTTACAAAAATCTTTAAATATACGAGTTGATCCCTGTGATCCGCCCCTGCCCTATTTATAATAAAAATCATATTTCAACACTTATTGTATTTTTTTTACATTATCTACCTTAATCGAAATTTACTTGTCTCAGACATATTCCAGCATTTTCTGCAACCTCTTCCAACCATTCTTTTTCGGCTTACATAAATTATTGTCACTTAAAACTTTTCTTCCACGTAATATAAAAAAAATGGAAATAAAAAACTTTTGTTAACCATACTACTTGATATTTATCTAAATTTTGAAATATTTAAAATACACTAGCTGTTGCCCGCCATTGCAGGCGTAGAGTCGTGGTTATAATATCAAAATATGCATGATTATAATTTTTTTTAATTTGAATGATTTTTATTAATTTTATTTTTTTAGTTATTTATTTATTCTTGTTTATATATATTTTTATTTTTTTTATTTAATTTATTTTTATCGATTTTCGATTATTTTTGATTAACCGATTTTTTCGATTAAACGATTCTTTCCGATTAATCAATTTTTTTTTAATTAATCGATTCTTTTCTATTAATCGCTTCTTTTCGATTAATTGATTCTTGAGCGATATTGGCGCTTATATAGTTTTTCAAATGCTAAAATTATTGGAAAAAATTGAACCCCCATTTTAAAATATTACAAGCTGCTACTGTAACTGACAACTTTAACTGAAAATAAACTGATAACTGATATGACCGTCTACAAGAACCATTACTAAGCGAAATGTTATTGAATTATTCAGTGTACTTTAAATTTAAATATTACCTTTTTATTGTAAAACGGGTTGTCTGCGCGGATTTGTTGCGCACTAAACTTATTGATATAATTCGCATGTGTTATAATCCCCCCTGAGTTGTGTCATTTGCATATTTACATTAATTAAACATTTCACTTGATCAATTTAAGAGTTTTTAAGCCCTATTTGAAACAATAAAAGAAATTATATTTTATAAAATTCAAATGTAAAATGACAATTCAACATTAACATGTTTTTCGTTTTAGCTTCCAGATCTAGAAAAAAACCCTTCCGCGTTCAATTTGGAGGATGTTTGGAAGCTTGTTACTATTGCGGCAAATTTTTTCTTAATAAGTCACAATTTCTGTTTCATTTATTTTTGATCCATTTTGTAAAGAAAATAAATAGTTGTAAAGGAAAATTTGAAAAAAATGAGCAATGTAGATGTAAAAAGTGTTTACGTATTGGAGAAATTCAATCAGAAAAAAAATTGTTCAAATGTGAAATATTTTCGAAACAGATTATTCAGAAAGACACTTTGAATAGGGATATAAAAATTCACACTGAAGAAAAACCGTTCCAATGTAAAATATTTTCTAAACAGTTTACTTATGAAAGCGCTTTCATTACACACTTAAGAATTCACACTGGAGAAAAACTATTTAAATGTGAAGTATGTTTGAAACAGTTTATTAGTAAAAGCAATTTGAACAAGCATTTAAAACTTCACTCTGAAGAAAAACCGTTCAAATGTGAAATATGTTTGAAACATTTTAATGATAAATACTATTTGGAAAAGCATTTAAAATATCACTCTGGAGAAAAATCGATTAAATGTGAAATATGTTCTAAACAGTTTGTCATCAAAAGCGGTTTGAATAAACATTTAAAAATTCATACTGGAGAAAAACCGTTCGAATGTAAAATATGTTCTAAACGGTTTATTAATAAAAACGCCGTCAACACACACTTAAGAATTCACACTGGAGAAAAACCATTTAAATGTAAAATATGTTTGAAACAGTTTAATCGGAAAGAAAATTTAAATGGCCATCTACAAATTCACACTGGTATAAAACCGTTCAAATGTGAAATATGTTTGAAACAGTTTAAACGGAAACAACATTTAACTGGCCATTTAAAAATTCACACTGGTAAAAAACCGTTTAAATGTGAAATATGTTTGAAACAGTATATCGATAAAAACAGGTTGAACATGCATTTAAAATATCACTCTGAAGAAAAACCGTTCAAATGTAAAATATGTTCTAAACAGTTTGTCAACAAAGGCACTTTGAATAATCATTTAAAAATTCATACTAAAGTAAAACAACCGTTTAAATGTGAAATATGTTTGAAACAGTTTATCGATAAAAACAATTTGAACAATCATTTAAAAGTGCATACTGGAGAAAAATCGTTCGAATGTGAAATATGTTCGAAACAGTTTGTTAAAAAAGGAATTTTAAATAGAGATTTAAAAATTCAGTTTATCGATAAAGACGCTTTAAATAGGCACTTGAAAATTCACACTTGAGAAAAACCTTTCAAATATGAAATATGCTTGAAACAGTTTAAATGTAAATACCATTTAGTAATCCATTTATATATTCATTCTGAAGGAAAACGTCGAGAAAAACCATTTACATGTGAAATATGTTTAAAACAGTTTATCGATACTTTAAATAGACATTTTAAAATTTACACTGGAGAAAACCGTTGACGTGTGCAATATGTTAAAAACGGAAAAGTGCGTTTGCAAGTTACTTAAAAGTATAAATATAGTGAAGCGGCGAGGGTAGAGACGCGCGGCAAGGTAATTTTAAATTGATAGGTACATATTGAAGCTCTAAGCCAGAGGTTCCCAAACTATTTTGTTTCATAGACCACTTTCAAAATTTTGCTGAATCACTACCAATTTCTAAATCTCGAAAAAAAAAAGTGAAGATTAGATCTATCTATGGAAACTTGCGTTGTGGCTGAGTTTTAACGACGAATTAACAGTTTTCGAAAAAAAAGGTTAGAATTGATTGCTTGATAGGGTTAATTATTTTCAATTAAATTTTAATTGATTGTGTTGTGAGTGGATGTCAAAAAAGCAAAGTTGATCAAACGAAAAAGTGACTCCATCCAACTTTACTTTTTTGAAATCTACAGTGACTCACAGCACAAGAACCAATCAATTCTCACAAATTTTATTTAGGAAACGTCCCATTCGGAGTGGTAAAAAGAAATATTGTATATTTCCTTGTGTTGTAGGTATTTATTTAAATTTAAATATATAAATTATTACACTATTATTTATCGGTACAAAGAGACAAGAGTTCCGAACGATCGGAATCGGTACAAAGAAACAAAAGTTCCGAACTTATAGGTATAGTTTAGAAGCACAGAAAATAGTTCTTTAATTGATAATTAAATAAATCTAAAATTATGGAAACAAGACTGCCAAATGAAAAACAACACTAATTAAATAAAAATGTAATTGAATAAAAACTAATGCCATATGCAAATTAAAAATATTCACAAAAAAGTACTCTAATAGTAGACAGTGCTTCGGTACCGGTACCTACTGTACAAAATAAGATTATATTTAAAGTTTTTGCAAGAAAATTAATATAAAACGAAAAAAAAACTATTTATTGCAACAAATGTGGGTATTTGTTTTACAACAATGTAAACAATATAAAAATAAAACAAAAAATCTATATTCTATAACATTCAATACAAAAATATTTTTTTGTTTGTCCTTTTTTTGCTGCAGTGCATTTAAAATGCAATCATTTGAGACAACCATCACAACATATGGAATTATGTATGTCATCTATTATTTCATTGCTACAAATAGTTCAAAAATAGTTTTTAATAGTTTTCCGTATTTTTAGCAATTCTTGAAACTGTTTGAATGCTTTCGCCGTAGAAAACTGTTGAATTTCGTTTATTTGTACTCTGTCTTCAAACAACATACAATTAATTTTGTCAGGTAACAAATCGGAAATGTAGGTCTCTGTTATAAGTTCGTTATTATACATTATTTGTTTTATTTTATCTTTTTGAAGGAAACATTCCAACATTAATTGCTGTCTTTGGAATAAACGTTTGTTAACAAATAATTGGTGCCTCTTTAATTTTTGAATTCTTTTTATGCCAATAGCAGTAACATCAATATTTTTGGGTCTTCCTCTGGCTTTTTTCATCAAAGGCAACTTTATATTACCCAATGTCATGCCAGTATCTTTTTGCTTGTCAATTTGTCTTTTATTTTTTATTTTACTATCACCCTCATGATAATATTCTTTATGGAACTCTCTCACTACTGTAAGGCATGTATGATTTGATATGCTATTGCTATTGATTTCTCCAGATTCGTCTTTATTATTTTGACTATCACCATTCCCCCCTTCTATATACATACTTTCAATGGTTTCTTTATGAGATTCGATCAATGTCGTACCACATTCATCAGTTACACATTCTGTTTCTGTAGCATCTGAAATATTGTTACCTTTGGTTTCATTCAGTTTCTCTGTATTATTACTATTTGCTTCTATATTTTCATTCTTTTCTTCACCTTCATGGTTAGCACACTTTTCAGTACTAAAGTTCTGCTCTCTTATTATGCTTTCATCTACGTTTTGTCGAATATTTTCTACTATTAGAAATTCTTTATGGTTGTTAATTAATTCAACAAGAAGTTTAATTTGGTCCCTTGTTTTGTGGTATTGGTTAGTACCTTGTTCAGAAATTACAGTTGCTAAGCGACAAAAAATATATTGCATCTCTTTAAATTTTTGTTGTTGTGTATAAATGGTAGTATTGGTGTTTATCACAGACATTCCTACATAATCTAAATTTACAGCATCAAAATTATTTACGTCAAGCGATATATTATTTGAAGTAGTATTGTTTGTATAATAACTTTTTAAGTATTTCTGATGTACAAGTGTTTCATCAAATAGTGGCATTTTCCTAATTTTTTGATAAGCAAAAATGTGCTTGCATGGCAGCTTTCTGTCTGTATAAAAGTTACAGCCACATTCATCCGATATTGCCTTAATAGTTTCGCCATGTAATAAAAATTCAAAGTAGTCGGGAATGTTTAAATCCAAAAACTGTATTACATCACAGCTTAAATATTGAGTTTCAATAGCCTTAAATGCTGCTGGTGTTACGTATCTTGAGTAAGAATCTAAAACTGAACCCTTGTTATAATTTGTAACTGGCCTTCGAATAGATACCATTCGCCGGATATGACTTTGTTCGTGTCTTATTACATCTATTTCAGTTAAAAAATCTTGGTAAAACCGATATATATTACTATATCTAAGACATACTTTTTTGATTTAAATTTTCTAAGTGGTTTGTAGTACTAGTATTAAAAGTTACAGATTGTTTTTTAAATCCTTGAACCCACTCATGACGAATGGTATGCCAGTTTTCTTCATAATATTTCAGAACCTTAGGAAAACCTAGTTTTTTTAATGATTCATAATTAATGTACTGGGTGTCGTTTTCCGAATACGCTATTTTCTGGAGAATTTCTAAAACAAGCAGCCTTTGACTGGAAGTAATATTCATAGTTTTAAAAGTTTTTAACACATGGAAGAGGCAAAGTAACAAATTAGAATTCGGGAATTCATCTTTAAAAACACGCTTCTCTCCAAAATCTTTGTCAGTTAAAATCGAATGTGTTAAATTCCACGAAGGATTATTGTTTTTAAAAATAATTATCATTTTTTTAATAGCCTCCGATCCTTCATCTGCCAGCAAAAAAGAACCAACAATTTCGCAGTGTCCGTTACCATCTATAACCACAAGTAAATACAGTGGCATTCTTAAGTTGTTTAGCTTGTAAGCCGCGTCACACAATAAAATTTCATGGTACTTAGCATAATATTGCATCATATAATAGTCTTGGTAAAAAATTCCTATTAATTCATTTTCAATATTTGTTACAACCTCAACCTGGTTAACCTTGGTTAACCTCTTTTTTTTAAACAACAAACAACGAGCATAATATAACGCATGTATTACTGAACCAAGTCTTTCAAAGCGCATGCGTGTTTGGAAACGGTGTTAATTAAATACACGGTTCCGACCATTCGGTTCTCTTGCAGTACTGTACGAGTTCCGACCGTTCGGAACTCTTGTCACTCCCTAATTATTATTGATATAACCGTCGTAATATAATTAAAATTAAACACGTATAACGTAAAGCCGGCTACGGACGATAAGCGATCATATAATATATATTATAGCTCACATATTATAAAAATATCGCTTTGCATTAAAAAGTGCAAGTCGCCGCGCATTGATGCTATAATATATATCTATATCCCGGCGATGCTGGACGATATATTTAATGTTGGACGAAATATGCTTTCCGAGCGATTTTTAGGATATATATTTCCCCCCTCTTGTGTCGGGCTGCCCGCCAAGAAAGCAAAACGGCGTTGTTTACATGTTTGTTTTGAACGTGATTTGATAAATAAATTTTGTAGGTTTGTAAAATTAGCTGCTATTTCTACACAGATTTATAATATTTATGTTTTAATATATTTTTTTTTAAACTCTTTAGTTTTTTAGTAAAAGTCACTTTCCTATAATTAAGAATAATCTATCTATATGTATACATACCTTAAAGTAACTACCAGTCGCTCTAAGAAACTAATGCTTTTCCGCGTATTTGTATTTTGCTTTTCTATTTAAATTTTTATTAAATCATGAAATTCATAAAAATTAGTTCAGTCCATTCAAAAATAATTTGTAAATGTTTCGTCACTTAATTCGTTAAAAAGTGTAAATTCTCCTCGTTCTTTTCGGTATTTGATGTGATTTGATAACCAGAATCTTATTGTTTCTTTTTGGTTACTAACTAATTGCTAATAATAATACATTGTTGCTTTCAGCATCTGATTTATCTTCTGATGAGCTATCAATGGTATCTAGCAATAACAAATTTTTCTCCATCGCCATTTTTAAAAAAGGGGCCGTAAAGAGTATCACCGAAATTAAATGTAGAAAGAATAAGCGACTTACATAGCATTGATTTAATATGTGTAGCGTATGCATTTTTTAAAAGATGATTAATTAATGTGTTTTTCAAATTTTAAGTTTGATTCCAATAATACTCCCAAGCTTTTAGCCTCACTTACTTTTTGTAAATTTTCGTTTTTATAACAATATGTACACTATTATTATTATCAATTTCATTCAATTTGCTTTTAGTACCAAAAAGTAAGATGTTAGATTTTGAACAATTAATATTCAAACAATGATCCTCAGCATTGTTAATAAAATTATATAGATCTTTGTTTATTTTATTGCAAGCTTCGACTGTCATGTCAGGGGAAAAACTATAATATATTTGGGTATCATCCGCATAAAAGTGTACATTACAAGACTGGAAGCTTTTAACAAGATTTGAGGTATATAGCGTAAACAAAAGAGGTCCCAGAATAGAACCCTAAAGTACTCCACATTTTAAATTCATATAATGAGAGGATTGTTCATCAACAACTACCATTTGTTTTCGACCAGAAAGGTACGATTCTAAAAGATCTACGGCGGTTTTTTGAAGTCCTAAATAGCTTAAAATTTCTAACATCAAATCATAATTAATTGTATCAAATGCTCTGGTAAAGTCAAGTAGCACAAAAATACTACATTTTCCTTGGTCCATAGCCCTTACAATGTCATCAACGATATGGAGAAGAGCTGTCGTACAACTATAATTTTTCCTAAATCCAGATTGAGTTACGGGAAGCAAAGAATAGTTATCTAAATGTTGCTTTAGTTGATTTTCTATAGCTCTTTCGAGTACTTTAGATAAAGTAGGCAGAATACTGATCGGACGCAAGTCCTTTAACTCAAGGGGATTAGATTTTTTAGGTAATATTATAGCTCATTGCCGAGTGATGACACTTCGAAACCGGTCGCACTCAATGTTTTGTTAAATAATTAAACATTGACTTTCCTTGTGAGATATAAAGGACTTTTTCTCCCCCTTCGCCTTAAAAAAAAATAAAATACATAATAGAACTTCATAATCTTAAATCGTTATCAAAAATTATTAATGGTAAAACTTCAAACAATAATTAGATTCTTAAACAAATTTCTAGTTTTTGTTTTGCAAAAGACTTTTTTGCCTTCTTCGGTTGCTTCTGCCACTTTTCTTTTAGTAGTTTTGAGGAGAATTTTCCTATGGAAACCAGTAGAACCATCAATTGGTTAGTAAAATTTTGATATTTTAGGTCTGGTAAGTCTTGTTAAACTTTCTTCTTAGGAAGTTGTAACCTTATGGAGAATAAAAATTTAATGTTAGATCAAAAGCTCTTAATTGAGAATTATATTTGCAAAAGCCGTTTTAATAATATTTTCAAAAGTTCTTGGAATCGTTGTTAACAGAAACCTGCAAAAAAAATAAATCATTTTATTCCTAAAATATAAGATATCACACAATGCACATTCATATAATATCATTGTGCTAGAAAAATAGTAGGTAGGTACTGAGACAATTTAAAAAAAGTATTTCGAGAAACTCAACTTTTAATGTCATCATTGTACTTAACATTTTTATTGCTAAATTATTATTAATGTCCTTTTAAGTAGTTCATTGTGATTTGTATAATATATATTATAAAAACCTATCGTCAATGTTAATGTGCCAAGTTTTTTTAATAATTATGTCCTTGTTATAGTAAAAACACATTTTTAAAGTTTTCTGGATTTCTGCTTTAAATTATCGTACAATTGAACTGACTAATTGTTTAAGTAAAGGTATATCTCTTTTTTGTTATAACAATCTTTGTATATTGTTCTAACTTTTTAGATAATCAGAGAAAACAGTAAGACATCTTAATATATCCTATTTTTCCAACAAAAATGTAGAATAATTAATCTCACATCAAACGAAAAAAGTAATTTTAGGATGTCCAAATAGGTTTTAACTTAAAAACTAAATAAAATGTATATTGCAACTGTGTTTAAATAAATGAATGTTTTTATACCTGACTATAGCACCAAACATTTTTTTAGATCATAATGATCTGCTTAACTCAAAATAGTCAAAACCCACATTATTTAAGTTGTTCTAGTATTGTTTTAGCATAACGATGTAAACTCCAATAATACATATTCACATTTTTTTAGGACGTTTTTTAAGGAAATTAAAAAAAACACGAATAATGTGATATTCTTGTTTAGTTTTGTACTATATAATATAGTTCATTAGGTAGTGATTTAGAAGCAAATTATGTTCTATTTATAGAATAAAAAATCACTCATAATATCTAAATATTTATACCTATTTATAATTTGGACAGGAAGACTATTTTATATTTTTGGCTCTGAATAGTTTTCTTAAGAATTTTAAAACCTTCCTTAGCTCTTTTGGGATATTCCATGCATATCTCAGAAGTTCATTTTGTTTAAACCTAAAACAAATTAAGTACAAAAAATGAAAATTTAAACAATACACAAAATTAGTCTTTTAGATTAGTTAAAAAAAAGTGTCAACAAAAAAATGGCTATGCCTTTTTCCTTAAACATTCTTTTTGAAAAAAACTTAAGTTTCTCTACTTACTTGCTGTTTTAGTATTTTAGTAGCAGATGAATAGTGTAGAAGTAGTGACAGGATTGATTATTATAATTCTTTCGTCGAAATTGCATTTTTCTTTAATATTTTCCTCTCCTGAGGTCTGTAATAAAAATGTTCATTAGCATAAAAAGTTATTCAGGTGGTCACTAGTTGAATTCCTATATTTTGGAACCATGTATTTCTTTCTCATATCAAGAAAAGAAAACCTAAAAAAAATAACAATAAACTTTACAAAGATGTGATATTAAAATAATAATAAGTAATTAATCTTTACTATAATCATTATGAGACGGATGAAGACGAACTTAGCTGGAGTTTACTTGCTCTTAATTTTAATTTTTCTATAAGAAAATAAGAAAGTTTAATTGCAAATTAAAGGTGATTGGCTAATGCACCGCCTCTGATAATTAGGTTGTGTCTCTACTTACTTATGATATTAACAGGCCTTTTACACATAAAGCATGTTTTCACCATATTATTAGAGATAATAAATCTTAAATATACATTTACAACCCTTACAACGTTATAAATAATAATATTTTCCGTAAAATACAAATAAGAAATTGACATGTGTCAGAAAGTGTCAGAATTGGCGCTGTCAAACTTGGCAACGCTGAT